GAAAGAGGGAGAGAGAGAAGAGGCAGAGGTCCCGGGAAGAGAGAGAAGTAGGGAGGGTGAGGGGGGCGCCCCAGACCGTACCTGGTTGGTGCCTGTTTCTGAGTCGGCATCTCACCACCCGGCTGCCGCCCAGGCCGCCACCTGGGCAGGCGGGAGAAGGTGGCGCAATTGTGCGGCCTCAGAAGCTAGGCTGGGGGGCGGTGGGCGGGCAAAGACAGTTGAGCAGCCTCTCCCCTCACCGCCCCCCCCCGCAGCAGGGCCCGCCACCTCCCCAGGCGAGGCCGCACAATGGGCATTAGGAAAAGGTGGGGGCGGTGGCCCGCACCATCTCCGTGGGCGCGCTGGCCCGCACCATCTCTGCGGGCGCGCTGCTTGCAGCGAGGCCTAATGGCACTCGCCGGCCCCATAGGGCTCCGAGGGGTCTCTGAAGCCTTGGGGGGCCGAAGACGGGCCGCTGCTGTTCAGCACTGTGGTGACGGAGAGGCTGGACGCTGCTCTCCCCTCCCGGTGGTCTCTCAGGAGCCCCAGAAGCCAGATGGGGGTGGCCGAAGATGGGTCGGTGGCGGTCAGTGTGCCACCAGTGGAGAGGCCCCACGGAAGAGAGATGAGTGAAGGGGGGCCCTCTTCAGCTCACACCCAGCTGGGATGCTGCTGCAAGTCAACGTCCTCGCAGTGGGGCATGGCGGCGCCGGGTGGGTGGGGGAAGGCCTGAGTAGGCCTCCCGGCGTCCAGCCGCAGCAGCGTCTGAGCAGGGAAAGCTGGGGCGGGGTGTCTGGTGTTCTCTGCCAGGCCATGGCCGCCTCAGCATGGACAGCGGGTGGAGGCCTTCCCTTCCCCCCAGCAAATTGCCTGTCCTGCCCGTCGTCCGGCCGCATGCCGCCCAGGTGGCGATCTGCGGTGGGGTGAGGACGGTGGCGGCGGCTCCATCGGGCTGTGATCCCCGGCCACTGGAGCATCTGTCCCGTCCAGGCGCTCCAAGACGAGTGAGACCTCGGCCCTCCCTCCCAGCCACCCAGCCAATGGCACCCCAGTAGTCCTGAGGGAGCCAGCCATCCCAGCCAGTGTCTTCTGACTGGGAGTTCTTGCGGCCAAACACTGTTGGTGCGCATCGAATGTTGGAGGCAACTACGGCTTTATATATAAAGGACAGATAATTGTTTTTGTATTTGGGAGAATTCTGCAGCTTCTAACAGTCTACGTGTTGCCAGCAGCTCTTTGTAGACTTTCTTATTACAAGTTTTTTTTATGTAGCATTTCTAAGATTGTATTTTTTCTAACAGAGCCTTTGATTCTTTTTTCCTTTCTTTTTTCAGGTATGATGTCAGAGGTATTATTTTCCCCCTTGAACGCATCCCAGAGAACGCTGTCCTGTACATCTCCATTGTCATTTAGATCAAAGTAATCCTTAATTGCCTTACTGATTTCAGTTCTATTTAGTTCACTTAATAAAATTGAGTTGTTCAACCTCCATGTCTTGTTTTGTGTTTCTGTGCCAGTTTTCGTTAGCCTGCATTCCACAAATGCATGGTCGGTCCATCTGAATGGGCCTATATAGGAGTCTTTGATTTTACTAAATATATCACCTGAAAGTAAAAGAAAATCAATGTGAGTATATGTATGGAATCTAGGTGAAAAATAAGTATAATCTCGCTCTGTTTTGTACTGACTTCTCCATATATCAGTCAATTGATACTTGTCCAGTATTTCAGCTAGCTCAGTGTATCTATTTTTAACATTTTTTGGTAAAGCCTTAGTATGTGATTTATCTAGACATTTATCCACAATCATGTTACAGTCATCCCCTATCAACAACATCCCATCCTGGAAGTTTTTCAGATTGGTTAAAGCCTCATCTAAGAACTGTTTTTGTTCTGTATTTGGCGTGTATAGTGATGCTAAGGTTAGTGCTTCCCCGTCCAGCGTACCTTTTACAAAAACATATCTACCCATTGGGTCTGTTCTTTACATACAAATTTAACTGTTTTGGCTATTAGGATGGCCACCCCCTGGCTTTTGAGGAGACATATCCCTGAAATTGTTGGTCATACCATTGCTATGTTAATACCACTTGTTCATCTTTTTTCAGATGCATTTCCTGCATTAAAATTATATCAGGACGCTCTTTCAAAATGACTGATGTTATTCTTCTCCTTTTGATATAGTTATTCAATCCACGGACATTAATTGTGCGCACTTTATATGCATCCATTTCAAATTACAATGTACTAGGAATAAAAATTCGAATGAACAAAGGAAACACCCACTGTTATAACTATCTATTTTAACTTTTGGCCTGTAGTAGCCTGTACCGTATTTGTACAGTAGGCGTTTAACTAAAGATTTTAGTTTTCTCTACTGTTACCACTATTAAACTAATCTACTCTACTCCCTTCCCACTACTCCCACCCTTCCCTTCTCCCACCCCCTCCCCAACTTAATACCTTAACTAATCCCTGAACTCTATACTTCTCTCAGGGCAATAGTCCTGGGCTTTGAGGTAAGGAAAAACAGGAGCCAGCCCTAGTGGAGCTGGTAGGATAGCTCTGTTGCTATCTCCTGGGTCCTTCTAACTGGGAGTGTAACAACTTCTGCAGGCTCCCCCCCACTTAAGATTCATTTTGGCATTATTACAAACCACCCTTAGTAGTCTAAACAATGTATTACAACCAGCATTACAGTATATACTCTGTCTACTACCTTAAACATATACAGCTTATTTAGCACCAGTATGGGCTGGAATTTTACTTGATTTCAATGGGGACAATGGAAATAGACTTCTTCTTTTAAAAGATCTCTTTTCCCTCTCCTGTTCCATCGGAGTTTCTTGTTGTAGCACTTGTAGTAGTTGTTTTCCGCTTTCTTCATCACTGGCGTAGAGATGCATTCCCTGGTGGTACACATAGAGTTTCCCTGATGGCAGCCATCTATATTTTTGGCTTAGTTCTTGCAGCTGCTTGGTAGTCGTCTTTAGTTTCCTTCTCATCAGCAAGGCTTCCCTTGGCACGTCTGGGAATATGACAATTTGTTCTCCTTTAAAGGTGAAAATATCAGCGTTCTGTGCCTCTGCCAGGATTCTTTTCCTAACTCTTACATCATGTATAGTAGCTATAATGTCTCTGGGGGTATTTCTTTTAGCATTGTTTTTTGGCCCCAGTCGGGCCGCATAAGTAATGATTGGATAGATGCCTTCTTCTAGTTTTAGGGCTTGAGCAATGAATGAGGCTATAAAGGGGATTAAGTCCTCAGATCGTTCTGATACTTCATGGAATCCACTAAATTTTAAATTTACAGCTTTTTGTTCCATTTCCATGGAGATTAGCCAGTCATAAACATGATATATACTTGATCATATAAAAGTTTAATATTTGCCTGATTTTCCATGCTGTTCTCCAGCACTGAATCCGCTTTGACCATCACTTGGGCTACTGATATTTTGATCTCTTCCACATGTGAAGTTAGAGTCGAAATTCGCTCCGTTATACTTGCTTCCATAGTTTTTAAGTATTCCAGTATCGTCGCCCCCGATGTTTGTTGCACATTTTTCTCTGTCGTCTTAGAGGTCGTCGCCATTTTAATTTCTTTTGGTGTATGCAGGCCACGATTTGTTTCTGTTTCGAAATGCTAGTTAATGGAGCGGGAATTAGTTGTGACCACTTTAGTTTTTGGCGGGTCAGGTTTTCCCATGTCAGGCAAGTTTTCCCGTAGGTTTTGGGTGAGTTTGAGCACTTTTAGCATGAAGGGGGGATCAGCAGGAGTGGGAGCTGTAGAGTTATGCGACCGCCATTGTTAATAGCCACGCCCCTAAACACATTTTAGATAAATAAATTTATGCTTCTGTTTTCAGAGATGAAGTGGATGGTGACTTGCCTATAGAATGCCTTTCTTCTTGTTGCTGTCTTAGAATCTTTTAGATACCAGGCTAAAAGCTTACTTTGAATGGAGGGGCTGATTTTGAGAAGTTGTTTATAAGATTTTTTTTAAAGAAGCCATATATTTTAGGCTGTTTTTATGCTGTTGCTGCATTTTTATCATTTATTAATTGTTATAACATTTATGGTGTTGTTGTTGTTATATTTTACTTTGTGAGGAGCCCCAGGCAGGCTGTAATCCCAGGGTCTGCTTCTGCCCTGTGTGGGCAGAGGGAAGCATGGGGATGCACAATAAGCTGGGGAGGGGCCAACCCTCCATGCCTTCAAGGACAACCCAAACATCAAGCTAGCTTTCAACTTACTTTATTACTGACACTAATACAGGCTGGCCACTCTGTTGCAGGGGAGTTACCACATTCCCTGCTCTGACCACTTGATTCCCTGCACTGATCCACACAGTTAGGACTTGCCTCACATTCCACTTTCCAGCTTTTTTCCACAACTGCCCCAAGTTTTGCCCCAGTAATTGTGGTTTTCCTGGTAAACATGGGAGTGGTCTTCTTCCCCTCCTCTCATGCTGCTTCCACTAGCCCAAGGGTACACCTTCCTCGCTCAGGGCTGTGGCTGACCCTATCGCCCAGCCATGCCCAAAGAGGTGACCTTTGGGACACATCAGGCCCACTGGCTTAACTCTTGTAGGGCTCCCACCACCATGGCCTCTCTGCTGGCTTCCTGGGCCTCTGTGCCTGTCACACAGGCTCTATAGAGAGGTAATATAGAAATTGTCTAAATAAATAAACAGAATTGCCAGCTTCTTGAGGACTAGAAGTATGCAATGTAACACTAAGTTTTAAAAGAGATCAAAGGAGAAACCAGGAAATGCAGGATGATACATCTGCCCTAGATAAATTGGTGGAAATATTATTATAGCTATTAATTATTCAACATATAGAATAATAAGCCTTGATAAAAATGAAAATAGCATTGCTTCTGAAAGGAAATTATTTTAGTATTCTTTGTGAGTACTGACAATACAGAAATACAAGTGATCTCATAGACTTAATATATTAGGACTTCCAAAAAGGTTTTGAACCAAACAGCCTCAAGAACACATGAACCTGACTTATACTGAATCAGACAATTGGTCCATCAAAGTCAGTATTGTCTACTCAGACCGGCAGTGGCTCTCCAAGGTCTCAGGCAGAGGTCTTTCACATCACCTACTGCCTGGTCCTTTTAACTGGAGATGTTGGGGACTCAACCTGGGACCTTCTGCATGCCAAGCAGACGCTCCACCACTGAGCCACAGCCTTATCAGAGGCTCCTGAATATACTGAGCAGGCATAGTTTAGGGAGGGCAGGTCATCTTCTACACATGCATGCTTCTGATTTTAAACTACAAAAAGCAGAGAGTGGACCATTTTTATGATGATTTAAGCAGCCGAGTTGACTACAGATCTATATTGATTCAAATGCTATTTAACTTATTCATAAATGATCTGATATTATTGAAAATGAGGGCACTGAATGTATGGAAACCTTTATGAAGATACTTCATGGTTTTCCATATTGCTGAGCACTAGGGAATTCTCTGCTGTGTTACCACTGTGAAAAATGGGAAAGAGTCACACAATCTTATAATATCCGGGAACATGTTGAGTGTACAAAATGCATGATAGAACCCACTGACATCTTTATGAAGATATAAATGCTCTCTGTGAAATGCAAAGATGATCTCACGTTGTATGTGGTGCCTGTCCATCCATGAAGAAGCCTTGGTAAAACAGTGGCATTTAGGCTAGCAAATCCTGTTGATGGACTATTGTGTTCTACTTTTTGAAAAATATTTGGATATAACTACTTGGAAACAGGTGACTACTTGAAAGCAAGAAGCATAAACAATGTATATATCTTATTTACAGAAGCACTTTAAAGCTTGCATATTACAAATGACAACAGTCTACTCTCTTTAAAGAAGCACTATATTGATGGCACAGCACTTTACTACTTCTCTTCTCTGAAGATAAGAATATTCGACTACTAAATGTGTATGAGATTTTTTGCGGATCCCATGATAGTGTGATTGGAATATATACTGTACGAGTCTTGCCTTATTAATGTGACTGTATATTTATACTTATGACTTGTTGAGATTGCACTCTTTATTATAGTTGAAATATATCCCCTTGCTAATATAACCACTTTTTTCTGTATTATACCATGAAGTGAAGGAATAAGCATGCATGTTCCATAGCAGTTCTTGTCTCAGGAAAGTGCAGGACTCAATATGTCTCCAAAAGCAAAGGGCTTAATAAATAATCGTGTAAAAGGCTGCTGAGGAATGGAAGTAGAGCAGTAGAGCTCTGATCAATGGGCCACAGCAGAGATGGCTAGGTAAAGGTAAATGTTCCCTTGCTCGAAAGCCAGTCGAGTCCGACTTTAGGGTTGCGGTGCTCATCTCCGTTTCAAAGCCGAAGAGCCAGCGTTGTCCAAAGACGTTTCCGTGGTCATGTGGCCGGCATGACTAAACACCAAGGCGCACAGAGCGCTGTTACCTTCCCACCAAAGTGGTCCCTATTTATCTACTTGCAATTTCTTGCTTTCGAACTGCTAGGTTGGCAGGAGCTGGAACTAGAGACGGGAGCTCACTCCGTCATGCGGCACCCGGGTCTCGAACTGCTGAACTACTGACCTTCCACAGCCTGCAGTTCAGCGTCTTAACCACTTGAGCCACCGCAGCTCATATGGCTACATAGCTGTTTTTGCCTGAATGCTGAGAGAGAACAAGAGGCTGTTGAGACTCCCACAGGAAGCATTACAACAGAGAGTAAGACAGTATTCAGAAAAGAGAAACCTGAACGAAAGCACCACCACCACCAAAGTATTCACATCCAAATGCAGTTGCAGCTCCCCTGTTGTTATGACCTCTTGAAGTTCACTTCAGCAGTGAGTTAAATTTTCCACTAAGAAAGGGTTCAGCACTGCATAACTGCATGCTCTAATTTACTTGGTGCAATATTGACTTTGTGGTACTTGTATCAGTTACTTGTTTTAAGTATACCTGCTTAGATGTATGTTTTCTAGGGCAGAAGCCCAAGGGTTATAACCTCAAAGTTCTCTGTGATGTTCAAAAGGGAGGCAGGATTCCTGCGTTTGCTAGGAATTCCTGTGCTTGTGATTTTAGCACAGTTTGTCCATAACAGGTAAATACTAGCTGAGGCAGAATGAGAGGATGCTATAGAGGAAACCAACCTACCTGTGTTCATCTTTGGATTTACAGATGATCAACACAGCCACAGACATTAGGTACGTTTAAAAGGAACCTCCCTCCCCCAACCTTACAATCTAAAAATCACAACCACACACAGGCACACAATAAGAAAAGGTACAAATTCGGTCTTCTACGCATGCCGCATCACAAAATCAGGCCAATACAACAGGGGTCTGCAACCTTTAACAACTGAAGAGTCAAACAACATCAAAATTCAGAGCCAGAATAAGAAAGCCCCTTTACATAACTGACACTATAAGGCAAACTACATGTTACATTTTCATAGTAACTGTGGGGAGCAGCTGCTTTTAAAAATAAAGGAAAACAAAAAGAAAAAAAGAGAGTTTACATTCCCATGCTGCCATTAAAAAAAGAAAAAATCAGGGGAACCGATCTCTGTAGTCTAGAGATCAGTTGTATGTCTCGGAGAACAGCAGGGGCCATTAGAAGGTTGGCAACCCTATCAGGAAGTGGCTCACATATAAATATGCATACAATGGCATAAATCTGTACATGGTTTGCACTTTGATTATGGCAGCTGTTCACCTCTATCATTTTCCTCTCTGTAAAGCATCTCTAAGAAGCTGTTTAGTCCCACAAAAAAAATCCTTGCATGGCATGATTAAAAAGGTAAAGGTAAAGGTTCCCTTGCTCGAAAGCCAGTCGAATCTGACTCTAGAGTTGTGGTGCTCATCTCCGTTTCAAAGCCGAAGAGCCAGTGCTGTCTGAAGACATTTTCCGTGGTCATGTGGCCGGCATGACTAAACGCTGAGGCGCATGGAACGCTGTTACCTTACCACCGAAGTGGTACCTATTTATCTACTTGCAATTTCTTGCTTTTGAACTGCTAGGTTGGCAGGAGCTGGAACTAGAGACGAGAGCTCACTCCGTCATGCGGCACACTCAGGTCTCGAACTGCTGAACTACCGACCTTCCACAGCCTGCAGTTCAGCGTCTTAACCACTTGAGCCACTGCAGCTCCATGGCATTCCCATTGCATACTGGTTATTCTACCATCCAACCCATTCTTTCCAGTATCTCTTAACTTAAAAAGATTTCATTTCATTTTTTAAAGAGCTACATTTGGCTCCACTGAGACACATTTAGCTCTAGAGCAATAGGTTGCTGATCCCTGCAATACCAACTGGGAAAAGGTTCCAAAAC